CTGCTGAGGTGACGGTTGCTGCTGAGGTGACGGTTGCTGCTCGCGGGGACCGCAGCTCGGGAGGGAGCTGGGATCGACATCGGCTCAGTGCGGGAGCAGGCCAGGGCGGCTCGGGCATCCGTGGCCCCGTGCTGCGAGGCGAAGCCGTGGCCACATCTCTGAGCAGGCCCGGGTTACCTGAGGGAGAACGGCAGATTGCTACTGTTTTATTTAAAAGTATCGATTTCTTTTTTCCCTCGTTGTACTTAGTTTCCCCAAACAGGCTAGGCGTGTGTCTTCAACTTGCTATGCTGCCTGCTGTCTGAAACCGCAGTTGGAGGAATATCTTTATAGATGTGAGCACTTACTTAAGCAATAACTTTCATTTCCCTCACTTAAGTCACTCGTTCCTCTTCCAGAGCAGCATTTTTATCAGTTGTGTTATTACTGTATTTATTGGAGCTGCCCTATCAACTAGACTGGGGAAATTAAGAGAAGTGGGTTTTTTTTGTTGTGTGTGGAGTATTTTTTTTTTAGGTTAATTTTTATTTATGATCGGTTCTGGTTCATTCTGCAGAACTTGGACCAATTTTACCAGTCTTGGATCAGAAACGTTGTAAGGGAGAAAGCTGACGCTTCCACTGAGAGAAGGATCCATCCAGTTTTGTTCTGTATGCGTGACAGTAGATCACGATGCACAGCCCCGTTTTCTCTTTGTAAATGTAAGTAGCTCTTTGTATAAAAATACCACTGTAAATAACTAAATAACATATGTTAGCTTTCATACCATTATATACAAATGTTCTTTATTTCTTAGAAGTGCTAGTATGTCTTTCTCTCCGGAGAACAGCACAGCAGTTGACAAACTACAAGTTCACCCTTTCCTGTGGTTGAGTTTCGTAGCAGGTGCAAAAATTTCTGCAAATATTCCTCCAGAACAAAACAGGGTGTGAACTGAAAATTCATACTAGATATCACTGAGGCAGAGTTTTACTAATATAGTAAAGCAACTCAAGGGTTCATAAGATTCAGCAGAAAAAAAAACATAGAAGAACAAGATTAGAAAAAAAATACTGTGAAACATTTTGCTTGTGGTGTAGAGGTCCATTCTTTTACATCTGTCTTTATGCCTTTACCACTTCCTTCTCCAGCAGAAAACTCTGCTGGAACCACTGATAGTTTTTCAGTGAGTGGCAGGTTATGACAGGTAACCAGTCCTATACCAAGACTGAAAAATCTGTTTAAAAATATGATCGTCTTCTGAAGAGAATGAGTTGCTGTAAATGTTGATATGACAGCTTTGTACAAGTGAACTGCTTTATCATAGTCAAATAACATCATGCAAGGTGCTTCTTAAAAATAAATATATTAGAACAACTTGCAGTGGGAATTAGGGCATATAAAATTCCCTGTCTGGGAACTGAAGGACGACTGAAAGAATTGAAACAGTTGTATTCTTGATTCAGTAGTACCTCCTTGTGCTATCAAATACTGTTATAAATTTCTAATAAACTGTAGAAACAGCTTCATGACATCAACTAAAAATTAGAGGCAACATACATTTGGTTTTGTTTCACCTCCATTCATAAACCTGCCTCAGATGTCCTTGAAATATAGCCAGGCACAACTTAATTTATGGAATGTAATTGTTGTGTAAGCTGTCAAAACAGATTTTTTTTTTTTTTTTGCAAAACTTTCATACTCTCACGGTAATAAAGTGGTTGAAATGGACTGATCTGTCCATTTTGTAATGCACCTGCTGGCACTGTGTGTGTGCTTGTAGGGAGTAATGTCAGGATGCTCAGAGCAAGAACTGTGTTTGTTCTCACCATTGAACACAGGAAAATGAGAGAGCAGGTGCAACTGCACACAGCAGCGTCCCCCTGGAAAGGAAAAGCAGATTGAAATTTGCTTATAGTTAGAAAAGGGGAAGTGACACATTGCAAGTATGTTAAGTGGAAAGATTTTCCTGTTCAGGTACCTAATTTTTCCTCTAATCAGACTGCAGAAATTGAGTAGCAGGATTAAACATGGTACTTCCGTTATTTGCTCTGTTTCTGTCTTCTGGACCATGATGTAATCTTAAAGTCACTATCAGTTTGGATAGATATGAATGGTGGTTAGAGGAAATCCTTAATGAAGACTGGTACCCATACAACAGTACAGCAAATTGGGTTTCCTAGTTTCCAGAGCTCCTAGTACTGGGTCAGAAATGCTGGTCCAGGACCACTGCTGTGCGATGCAAAGTTCTCCTCCAATATAAGGGCATTTTCCAGAATGACTCCTTGTATCGGGGCCTTCACTTTTTTGGGATCTACTGTTTGGGCAGGGTATGAATTGCTGGGTAAGTCACGTGGGGAAAGCTAAGTGTAATTTTATAGGGCTTTTAGGAACAAAAAGCTGATGTTAGCTGGCTCTGTGTTGCCTGTTTTGTGCTGGTTTGTTTTCTATGGAGAGGGTGGAGTGGAACTTTGCATTAGCAAGCAGATAGTTTTCAAAAGGAGAGTAGGGCCTCGATTCTGTGCGTATTTAATGTTGATTTTTGAATGTTTACATCTAACCCGCATCTAACTTCAGCTTAACTTAAATTGCTCTTGTTTTTACTACTTAACAATAAATTTGCTTCAATCTCTTCTGTGTGGCCTCTTTTTTCCCCCTCCCACTTTTGAGGGAAGTTGATACAGATGAGTTTTTGTATCTCCTTTCATGAGTGTCCTCTACTGCAGCTTTCCCCACTTGCAACATCTTTTATGTTTTTGTCCTATTTCAGTTTTTGGCAACTAATGTTTGTTCTTTTCAGGATCCTTTCTGCTTTGTTTCTTGGTTCTTTTTGTTAACATTTCATTTATCTAAAGGATTTAGTGTTTGAAGGCACTAATGACCATAGAAGATCTTTACTTGGCAAAAACATTTTGATAGTATTGTTTTATGACTCTGGAAATCACAAGTTTCTTTTCCACAGGAAGAAGTTATGGTAACTTACAGAATGCTTTTAACAGAAGAAAGAAAACTATGAATACCCACAAATCCTCCTTTTCAGAATGAAATTCCTACAGCTACTGCCCAGGAAATCTGGGGGACTGGAAATGCTTTTTCAAGCATATTTTGGCCAAAAACAAGTCCCATATATGTGCCTGACTACTTCCACCTGCCTTTATAGTAAGAAGAAAAAAGTGAATGGTTATGAACATGTTGATCAAGAAAAATACAAGAGTTTGGTCTATTCTGTGACATCTTTCAAAACCAGCTCCCAAACACCAGCAACATTATCTGAAGAAGATAATTTGTTATATGGGCCGGCAGATAAACATAGATCTCCAGTTAAAAATGTTGAAACAAAAGCTCCAAAAAACTATGTTCCGCTCATAAACCCCAACAAAAGAATTACCCTTCTGGACAGTGGCTCTAACCTTCCCCTGAAAATTGGCTTGCAGAAAAACAAAATGCCCAGTGTTACCAATATTCTTCAACAGACTATGCCTCCCCAGCAAGCCCTTTACCTGGAAAAATGGAAGCAGAAAATGATACTGAACCTTGGGAAAGATGGTTTTGCAGAGTACAGCAAAAGTAAGTGTAACCACATTGTGTTTACAAAGTGGAATCACTAGTCTGGTAGCTGAGATGTACCTGTGTACCTGCTGGATCTGGCCCTAGAAATTAAACATTTTGAAAATCCATTCATCTGTTTCTATTCCAAGGTGCAAGGGACATAATGACATAAGAGAAGGGCACTGGTTACTAATGATGTATTCTCTGTTCAAGGACCACCAAAACTAATTTGGAATTTAGTGGGGAAACTAGAATTAGACTGTAGACATTCTTTGGTCTGCCCTACCTGCCTGTCCATTACTTGTGTATTTGCTAGAATCAGCAACAAATAGGTATATCCAGTTGATTTGACTGAGCCTGTTTGCAGATGCAAATGTGTATTCTGAAATCCCATTCTCCTGTGTACTTACAAAACTCTATGCCTTGCTTTATATGCTGAACCACTTAAGTAACTGTGGGTTTAGTATATACAATCTTTTCTATGAAATTCCATAAGTTTACATATTTTTATTTCATGAACCATCAGAGCTGACTTCCCCCAGGCTATAGGAGTGAAGACACAGTAGTGCTAAGGTGATTATCCTTGGGGGATAGTGGCAAGGACATGAAAGGTCATATTTTGTTCCTGTATAATTAGTGAGATTAAAAACCAAAAAGGGATCATTAATATAAAAGATACTGATTTTACTGTTGGCACTTTTTTGTTTTGTTCCTGTCTATTCCTTCCATCCTGAAGCTTTCCATACAAAGAGGAGGTTTGGTTTAAGAGCAATGCTGTGTTACATCTAGTACACACATCCCTCAGGTATTATGACTACTGTCTAAAATGTTGGGTTTTCTTGGCATCTTTCTTAGATCTTTTTCTCCAAGGAAGTCTCTTTCATACAACCTTGGAATCTCTGTTACTGTCTGAGGAGACGCCAGCTAAGGGGCAAGGAGAAGACGCTGCTGTTTCTGGCTACTTATCGAGTGTACAACACATCTTAAAAGATATCAGCGAAGTCAAAGCCCTGGAAAGTGCAGTTCAGCATGAGTCTCTGCAGTACCTGGGCCTGGTAGACTGCGTGGCCAAGTATCGGTGAGATCCTGATTCTCCAAGAACCCCGCAAAGCCCCAACACTGCTGTTCTGCTGTTTGTGGGAGGCATTTTCCGAGCTGAAGCCAGTGTGTTGGTAGCTCTGGGGGGAAAGCTTTGAGGGCTGCTGTGAGAAGCAAAAGGGATGAGCTCTGCGGTGAACCTGGCATCAGAAACGCCGCTGTTCCTTGGGGAGGACTCCCCGTTGGAGCGGGGAATGAGCAGGGTGGGCTTAAGCAAGGCTCGGGTGAGGGCAGGTTTCTGTGGTGCCACGTCCTCTTTCTTACCGGAACTTCAACATGGTCCTTGTCCAACCCTTTTGTGTTATTCAGAGGCCAGTTATGTGTGATTGACTGGAAGACTTCAGAGAAATCAAAGCCATCTCTGCAGAACACTTTTGACAACCCGTTGCAGGTTGCAGCATATATTGGAGCCATAAATCATGATGTCAACTACAACTTCCAGGTAAGCAGGCCTGCGACCTGCCAAGACAGGCAGCAGCACCTGTGTTATTTTCAGTTCTCCCCACTTCCTGACTTCAGACACGTGCTACCCCTCATGCAGCTCTTGGTGGCATTTGTATGCCTGCCCAGCCTTACATCAGGCTGTGTTCCTGGAGAAGTGCACTCCAAAATAACTCCTGCTGCTTTTGCTTCTCGATAGCATTTTGCCATTGGTTTTAAGGAAATTCCTGCTCGGTGGGAACTCTGGGTGCTCAATGTCTTAGGGAGTCTGATGCATTTATGGTGAGGACTCAGCCTGTGGAAAACTCTTGTTTTGTCTTAGTTTTGGGTTGTGTCCAGAGTAGGAAAGGAGAGAAGAAAGGAAGTCGAAGAGCAAGGAGGCAGGGAAGCGGGAGAGGAGCGTGTTCCTCACTTAATGTGTTGCTTTATCACACTAGCAAGTGAAGGACTAAATGATTTGCTTCTCAGGGGTGTTAGGAACTGTACAGCGCTTCCTTAGAGAAGGATGAGCTCTCAATCAATCACTTAATCAGTAAACAGCGGAGCAATGTTCTAAAAGACTCCTAAGGCAGGACTCCTAATGCACCTGAGGGGTTGCTAGTTCTGTGCAAAGCTGTGAAGGGGGGAAACTTAAAGCAGGAGAGAGAAGGGTAATTCATAGAATCCACAAAGAGTTTTCTAGAATAAGAAAAAAACAATATACTGAACACTTACCATGCACAATCCTCACGCAGTGAAATGTGCAGACTTCTGTTCGTAACCTGCACCCCACTGTGTAACTCTAGATGGTTGCTTAGGGTTGGAGTTAGGGCTGTTTGTTACATATCAAAAATGTCAGGACACACATGAGTAACTTTCCGCTCGGGCTGATGCTGGAATCATGTCAGCCTGATCACTCCATCCCAAGCAAAACGTCATCAGTTGGTGGCAATTTTACCTACCCCTGAAAGATGTAAATAGACTCCACTGCAGTTTCCACCGAGGTCAATGGGAGCTTCGGACTCCCTGCATTTGAATCCCCCAGGTATTTCATTGAGAAATCTTGCTTTTTTGTTTTCCTATTTCTTCTTTCTTATATGTTAAGCTGAAGTTTTGCAATGAAGTTTCATCTTTAGAAGCGCTGGCTGAAGTGGCAGATTAACACTGAGTGTCCTGGTTTTCACTATAGGTGAGTTGTGGACTCATTGTTGTTGCCTATAAGAACGGCTCTCCGGCACATCCACATTTCATGGATCCAGATCTGTGCTCTCAGTACTGGAATAAGTGGCTTCTGCGCCTTGAGGAATACATGGAAAGAAACTGATCCAAACTAAGCTGCACAGAAGCAAGCAGGTTGAGGACAGAGCCAAAGAACTTTGCTCTGATTTTATCTTTCATTTTAATACACATTATTTTTTTTGAACAACCTGGGCTAATTTATCGTATTTTTTCTCCTTTAAAAATATTTGGAACAGTGAATATTTATTTACCTGCTGTAAGTGACTTAGGCAGACCTGCAGGGCAACGTGGACTATACCAGCAATAGGAAACTTTCTATAAACTAAAGTCAAATTTAAATAAAACTGTTTAATAAAATCATCTGTCTTTGGTCATTTTTGAAGGAAAAAAAAAAGATATTGCAGAACCGAGACTCTGGAAATTAAATTGCTGATGAACTAAAGCTAAAGAACATTTGTGGTGTCTGAGCTGAGAGATGAGAGAAATGAAAACATGAGACTGGGTTGTCTGGTTGGCTATTAAGCCAGTCTTGCTAACCTCAGAGGTACCTATTAACAGATCTTTACTGTTTGTGATTTTCTTTCAGCATGAACTGGAAAAACTGTGCTAAGAGCCATAACCAAAGCTCTTGTGAGTAACTGCTGAAAATACTAAGGCAGATTAGCCTTTGAGCAAAAGCAATTCAGCAAGAGACGGACGGGATCGTAGCGGATGCGGGGAGAAACTGGCCGTGCGAGTGCGCGTGGGCCTTGGCACCTCGGCCTGGGTGTCACAGCCAGCTCTGGGCGGGCCAGTTCTGTGACCCTCTCGAGCGCCGCCGGCTTTGCTGGGCTCTGTGCAGAGCTTAGTGCCTAAAAACCAGCGGGCAGGCTTGCTGGCACAGAAGCAAGCAGGTTGAGGACAGAGCCAAAGAACTTTGCTCTGATTTTATCTTTCATTTTAATACACATTATTTTTTTTGAACAACCTGGGCTAATTTATCGTATTTTTTCTCCTTTAAAAATATTTGGAACAGTGAATATTTATTTACCTGCTGTAAGTGACTTAGGCAGACCTGCAGGGCAATGTGGACTATACCAGCAATAGGAAACTTTCTATAAACTAAAGCCAAATTTAAATAAAACTGTTTAATAAAATCATCTGTCTTTGGTCATTTTTGAAGGAAAAAAAAAAAGATATCGCAGAACTGAGACTCTGGAAATTAAATTGCTGATGAACTAAAGCTAAAGAACATTTGTGGTGTCTGAGCTGAGAGATGAGAGAAATGAAAACATGAGACTGGGTTGTCTGGTTGGCTATTAAGCCAGTCTTGCTAACCTCAGAGGTACCTATTAACAGATCTTTACTGTTTGTGATTTTCTTTCAGCATGAACTGGAAAAACTGTGCTAAGAGCCATAACCAAAGCTCTTGTGAGTAACTGCTGAAAATACTAAGGCAGATTAGCCTTTGAGCAAAAGCAATTCAGCAAGAGACGGACGGGATCGTAGCGGATGCGGGGAGAAACTGGCCGTGCGAGTGCGCGTGGGCCTTGGCACCTCGGCCTGGGTGTCACAGCCAGCTCTGGGCGGGCCAGTTCTGTGACCCTCTCGAGCGCCGCCGGCTTTGCTGGGCTCTGTGCAGAGCTTAGTGCCTAAAAACCAGCGGGCAGGCTTGCTGCTGAGAGACTTAGACCTTTGTAATGTTTAATCTTCAGCTTTTCTAGGGCTCTAAGTGGAAATCTGTGTGGTAAAACTCTGTTAGATGCAGCAGTATGTGCTTATTCAAACCCCGCTCTGGTGACGGTGTGATTATGCATAATTAAATAAGCCTTCTAACTAAAAGAACGACTCACATGCAAACTATGCAGCTATGCTGGGAGAGGACTAACCAGAATCAGGACCTTTGAGCACTCGGGCGTCCTACCTGTTTTGTGAGTAGGTCCCCACTACACCAGCTTTTAATAAGTGGGTTGTTCAAAGCCACCGAACGCTGTTGAAAGGTAACTCCATAGATAAATAAAGACAGCAGGCAGAAGCAGGAGATGGATGCCCTGAGCAGAAGCAGGAGGTGACAACATGTGATGAACGTGGGGCTCCTTGGCAGCTGGGTGCCCTCCAGACACTTTGTTCACAACAGGAACATGCCCAGCTCCATGCTGAGCTCCACAACCAGCGTCGTGCCTACAACCTCACCGCAAGGTGTTAGGGGATTCTCATGGGTAACACTTGTCCTTAGCCAATTCCGTCCCAGCACGAGCAACCTTCCCTTTACACCCATTTGGTTACAACAGCGCAGCCTCAGAAAACCTGAGTACTTGGATCTTCTCATTTACCTCAGGCACCTTCTTTGCCCCATGGATTTGATATTTATTAAAGTATTCTGCAAACCCTCCTGTTACATAGGATGACAAGTTAAGTCTTTACCCAGTAGTATCACTTTATTATGAAGGTTTTCAAGGTCCCAAGCACCCACAGTTCCGTTGAATAAAATAGTAGTATCATTAGAAATGTTTTTTTTTAAAAAAACCCTAAAAGCTATTCCCCACCAGAGCCCAAGCAGATGGCTGTATAAGACAGAGGCAAATTGAAAAGATTTTTGATTCGGACAGACACCCCAAATCGATCATTTTAAGGATGATTATGAAGACAGTGGCCATGGCTCTGAATGTCACACTGAGTTACTTTGCAACTTTGGTTTTACATGCAGCACATCTTCCCCAAATATACAGCTTTGTTTTGAGCACAAAATGCATCTGGGGGAATCTGTAAGTAAATCTGTTCATTATTATGTACTTAAGTTAATTAGAAACCTGTGTAGCAGCTGTGTCCATTAAGAGACAGACAGACAACCTGCGCTTGGACTGGCATCACTTGGGCTTGTTGAGGACGTTGCCACCCTACCCTGTCTGTCCTGATGCAGCCAAGTGCCCAGGCAGGACTGCAGCAGCTCAGCAGCGCCTAAAGCACCCTCAAGTGCATCAGGAGGTCTCGGCCTCCCCCATTTTTAGTTTTTAATCAGTAAATCTGCTCTTCGTGATCCCCATCTCGGTGCTCCGCAGGAGCTGCAGCAGGATGCAGGCGAATCCTAAAAGCACAGAGCCATAGGACCACTCATCATCATCATCACCATCATCATCATCGCTGCCTTGTGGCACTGCTTGCACTGAAAGCTTCTGCCACCACAAGGCAATGAAACTTGGAGGCCAGAGTCACACGTGCAGTGCTCACACACACACAGAGGCAGCCCAAGGCTCCCTCCACGCTGCTTTGTCATTTTGGTCAACAGGCACTTAACAGTTCATTAAAAAAGGGAAAAAAAATCCCAAAATACACACACGCACACACACAAACACACTATAAAATACACTTAAAATTGCAAGTTGTCACGACAGGTGAAACATATATTCAAGTCATCAGACGTGTTTTCTTTGGGTTTCTGGCTTGATGTAGACTGAAAGAATGTGTCAGGAATTCCCAGAGCAAGTGTGACAAGCCCAGGAGAGTCAGAGTTAAGGTCACGTTTAAATCTAAACATGATAAAATATGTTCACAGCTTAAAATACCTAAGAATATGACCAAAACTCTGCCCTCGAATAATGTCATTACCTGGAAGAGAAAGTGTAAGAGAAAAACTCTGCATCCTTAATTAAAAAACAAATCTGTTTCAGCTCACCTTGGGTTACATAAATCAAAACTTTACTGCCCAGGAGGATAGAGTTAGGATTCACTGTGCATTTAAACTTCATTTACTGATACTCTGTACTCCTCTCCCAGAGACCATTTTAGCAATTTTCTCATCCAAGAACAACATAGACATAGTTGCTCCTACGTGGCACCTTCTACTCAGAGCTCTGGGGTGATGCGTTGGGAAAAGGTGAAATTATTTGCCATGCAGCTGAGTGGTAGAGCTGAAACCAAAAAAAGTTTTCCTGAAGGCCAGTTCAACAAATTCTCCATGCAGTAGGTGACATGACCTCTTCCAAGCTTTTTGTTTCTTGATCAAAAAAAAAGAGATGTTTGCATCACACGTGGGAATAGTTCTTTCAAGTGGAGGTTCTGTCAGCATCAACAGAGTTCTGTTAACAAAAAGCATCCCTGCTACTTCAGGGATTTCTGGCAAAAGTGTTTTTAAAAAAATAATATATAGATATATAGATATATATAGTTCCTACGTGTAAACTTCATTCCCTTGGACCATTATAATTCACTGCATTATTCATCTTTGTCGTCTTCTTTGGAGTTCCTCTGGAGGACCGGGCTCAGTTTGTTTTGCAAAACTGCCGCGAGTTTTTTGGAGGTTTTCTTCAGAAAAGCGCTGCCGGGGTGAACGTTACTAACGTGCAGATATAGGTCCTCCTGCGTGGGGCCCGTGTAGCCGCAGTCTTCGCACACGTACAGTTTGTCTCGCCTCTGTTTGTAGGCGTATTGCTGCTGCACGCCGTGGATCTTCTTGAGGTGGGACTCGAGGGAGCAGCGCTGGGTGAACGCTTTGTTGCAGACCTCGCATTTGTAAGGGCGAATTCCTGCAGGATGGAAAGGCAGAGATCGGCATTTGGGTTTAAACTCATTAAACTCGTTACAGCCCGCTAGGGAATCACCGGAGGACAAGGCTAAGTCATAGCAGATATTGAACAAATGCCCAGCAGCAGGTGCTACAGCTTCCCCAAGGAACTGCCTGTCTACATAAAATAAATGGGTTCACATATTTAGGAACCTGGAAATATTGCAAACAGACTGCAGTAGATGCTGAATATAACAGATGCCCATTGAAGCATCAGTCCTGAACCAGTAGCAGCTCTTGCAAAACGGGATGCTCTAAAATCCTCGTGGAGTTCCCTGGTTGGGTCCATCCCAGCTCACCTTCCATCTGTCCTCTCCTAGTGACTGAACTCTGCTCTCTCTTCAACTTACCCTTGAGGTTACGTCTTCGAGAAGGGAATTGAGATGTAAAAAATACGTGTGTGTGTCTTCCAGGGGGCAGAAAGGGCTGGCTGCTGATTTGAAAGCCTGAGCAATTTCCTCGAGCAGAGCCAGCCAGCGCTATCAAACACACCAAGGAACAAGCAGCATCTGTTTCACCAGAAATCAGCACTGCATTAACAACAACAACAACCAACACCACCTCCTGGTACTTTGCTGGTAAATAGGTGAGGGGTTATTGCAATAGGAAGATTTTTGCCTGCATTTTGCAGGTCTTAAAAGTAAATAAATAGATAGATAGATAAATAAATAAATAAATAAAAATGAGTTTAATCCACTGCACCAGCTTAAACAATCACGCCGAAAAAAAATATTTTCCTTGAATTCTCTACTGTCAGACTGCTTCAGTGACTTAAATTAGCTGCAGCTGTAATTTGGGAGCAATTCCAGAGCTCTGTTAGAATTTGCACACAAAACTTGATCTTTTACCTGTAATATTTGGAGGGGGGCAGGTTCTTTAAGTCCACTGAAATTGTCACCACCACAGGTTCCCGCTGCCTGTTGTGCTTCCCCGGCACCGGGGCTGGCACAGGAGAGGGCTCTCCCATCACGTCAGGAAAGCTGCGTCTCCCCCTTTCCAAGGCTTGGATCCACATCAGCAATCCATGCCTTCCCATTACTTTGGGACCTTCCCATTACTTTGGGATTATCTAAAACTTTGATTTTGCTGCCTATATTACTTTCAAACACTTAACTCCGCTCACACCACGAAACGCGTTGGGTATATTTGGCTTTCGCATTCTCTGATGTCTCCAACTACTCATCCCAGCTAACTGTTCCCTCCGGAATACCAAGAAGAACGTGGATGTACACGCGGATGCTTTCACAGGTTCCTTGTATCAGCCTGGAGAAGACACGTGCCCAAGCCAGAAGACTGTGCCCTGTGTCCGCTCACACCACGAAACGCATTGGGTATATTTGGCTTTCACATTCTCTGATGGCTCCAACTACTCATCCCAGCTAACTGTTCCCTCCGGAATACCAAGAAGAACGTGGATGTACACGCGGATGCTTTCACAGGTTCCTTGTATCAGCCTGGAGAAGACACGTGCCCAAGCCAGAAGACTGTGCCCTGTGCATCTCTGCACCAAGGAAGATGCTCCCTGGATAACCTGTATCCGTCTGAACTACCCTGACCAGGAAAAGCACCGGACTGTCTCCAAAGGCGGTGAAAGCGGCATGGAGTGAGGTCGGGCAGAGTGCTGTGGAACCGTATCCAATGTGAAAGACAAAAGTGAGAAGGAAAAGCCAAGGCTTCGCTCAGGAAAACACGGCTCTATTACAGAGGAGGAAGAGGGAACTCCAATTTCTTTCAGTCAATTTTGGGCCTATTTAACCACAGAAGTCACATCTCCAAGGCCTCATTTCCACCCCTGTCCAGTATCTACAGCCAGAGCAGCTGAACCCTCTCTGGGAAGCTGGTTGATGCCATAAGCAGCGAGGGGAATACTGCAGAGCAAACCCAGTTCTTTCACAGGTTTTATAGGAAGCTGGAAATCTGGGAAGCTGGAGAACACCCTGCCTGGGTAATGGAGAACACCTGCACACAGGTCCAGAAACAGCCTCAGTGCCCCCTGCTCCTTCCCCAGGGATTCAGCGTGAGGCGAATGGAAGCCGCACGGGATGTCTCGAGGCTCAGAAGAGACCACGCTCCGATGCCTTCAGAGGGGGCCAAAATGCAGCCCCAGATGAGCCCACAGCGAAGGGCTACCAAAAAAAAAATTTAAAAAAGGAAAGAAAAAACCCTGCTCCTCATTTCCTCTAGAGGGCAAAGCATTTTCATCGCAGGACTCCCTGGTACACACTAAACCCTCGCTAATCCGTGGTGGATTATCCCCACGCCACGAGAGCTCCACCAGCCATCCCAGCTCTCCAGCCAGGCTGGCCAAGGCAGCACCCAGGCACGACTACACCGGATCTGGGCATAAGCTCCTATGGCTCCACATGGATTTCATTAGCTCTCCCCAGACTTCATTAATTCCGGGACTTTACCAGCTCGCAGGCTCACGACTCTTCCCCGTTGCCTCCTCATCACTTCTTGCAAACATTTCCCCGCGTTGTCATTGCACTGGGTCACCCTCACCCCCCTGCCTTGGTCCCATCTCGCCCCTTCTCCCCGGTTAACTCCAAATAGCCCAAGGCCGTCAGCAAAACGCTTTGGCAAAGCATTCTCACCAGTATGGGTCCGGACATGCCTCTTCAGATCAAAGGTGTCGTTGAAGCCCTTGCCGCAGAAGGTGCACAAGTGTCTCTTCACCTGGCTGTGGCACTTGACGTGGCGGTTGAGCATGCGCTGCAGGCGGAAGCCCTTGCCGCACAGCTCGCAGCTGTGCACGGCCGCGTCGCTGCACGTGCCCGTGGTGAACTGGGAGACACAACGGCACCGCGTGAGGAGGCGGCTACGCGGCCCCAAGACCCGACGCCCCAGCCCTCCCGAGAAGAAATAGAGAGGAGGGCGGCTTGCTCGCTGCTTCCCGGGAAAAAATCCTTGGGATAAATTCAAAAGGAGAAGTGGAAATATTCAGGAGAGGATACTCTTCACACGCTCGTTGCAATGAGGCCATGGGGATGGACTTCAGCCCGACGCAGGGAGCCTCAGGGAGCAAGAGGCCGCGGTGCCCAAGGAGCACCACCGGCAGCACGGTGTGTGTGCACAAGGCAGCCCAGCTAGGGAGTCTGTCTGCTACCCGTGTGGCCTTCCTGGGATGCCAGGGCTCGGCTGGTGGCATCGGGGGCACCTGTGCTCCAGACGCCTTCCAGAGACACGGACCCTAGTCTTGCTGCCTACCCAAGCACACGTGCTGAGGCTACAGTGAGCTGTCCTTAGGGCCACATCTGCTCCGCATGATGCATTTGGATCCTGCCTGGCTTGTGAAGGTTGCTCCAAGGCCAGGAAAAAAAATGGGAAAGTTCCCCTCGCAGTCAAAAAGCATTGGTGGGGGGACCTCCATGAACACCAACAGCCCAACTGCAGAGGGTGACAACCGCGGCGTGGGCAGACAGCCCCTGCCACCCACCACCAGGGACACAAGCCACAGGGAAGGGAGGGCACCGTGACGGAGGGAGCCCGTGCAGAGCCGCAGTTTGCCCAGTGCCGGTGAGTCAGAGCCCGCAGCTCCGTGCCCAAAGCCCTCCCACGCGTGACCGCGTGCCGGGCCAGCTTCCCTCCAGGTTGGGGTAGCGTTTCCATGCTTCTAACTTCACGGTTTCCCAATGTTTGGAGGGAAAACACTGCTCTGCCTTCTTCCTCGTGCATGGAAAAGGACCTTTTTCCTACCTGCGTCCCTGATAAGTCAGGAAAGTGAAGAGATTAGGAGGAAAACCCACTGCAGCCCTCTCACGCCAAGGCTTGGCTGAGCACTAGAAGGCTCTCCAAGGAGGTGCCGTGTCACGCAGGACTTGCCTCCTCGCTGCCCAAACGGGTCCGTCCTGCCTGGGCCGAGCTCTCCCGCAGGAGCTAAAGCGGCTCAGGGACAGCGCGGCTCCGGAAGGGCAGCGGCTTTGGGCCCCGTCTCCGCCAGGACGCTCACCTTAATCTTGGAGCGGACCGCGGGGCGCTTGGTGGCCAAGTCCAGCAGCATCGCTCCGGCGGCGGCTGCAGGCTGGGCTCCCGGGGGGCCGCCGGGCTCCCCGTCCCTGGCGCTGCCGTCGCTCTCCCGGCCGTCTTGGTAGCCCAGCAGCA